CAATCGTTTTGTTCTGAAGTGGCAGCATCACTTTTGACACCAGGGCTGTGTCTACACTGGGCCACTTATTCCGGAAAAGCAGCCGCTTTTCCGGAATGAGCTGTGAGCTGTCTACACTGGCCCCTTGAATTTCCAGAAAAGCAGTGACGATTTACTGTAAGAAATCAGCTGCTTTTCTGGAAAAACTATGCTGCTCCCGCTCGGGCAAAAGTCCTTTTCCAGAAAACTGTTCCGGAAAAGGGCCAGTGTAGACAGCCCAGTAGTCTTTTCCGCAAAAAAGCCCCGATCGTGAAAATGACCATCAGGGCTTTTTTCCGGAAAAGCGCGTTTACATTGGCCATGGACGCTTTTATGGAAAAAGGGCTTTTCCAGAAAAGCATCCTGCCAATGTAGACGCTCTTTTTCCGGAAATACTTATAACGGAAAACTGTTCCGTTTTAAGCATTTCCGGAAAAAGGTGCCAGTGTAGACACAGCTCAGGTGTTTGGTAGCTAAATGACTAACATTTTGGTTCCTGATTAAAGGAAAATTTGTTTTGTAAACATTTTATTTGGCAATGATAACCACCAAAGAACGTATTTCAACTGCATAACTGAAATACCATATAATAGTGTCTAAACTCTAGAGACTCTATAGAGATCTGAACTTATTCCTGAGAAATGTTTTGGCAAAGTTTAGATGCATATTAAATAGTTCCTGTGTTTGACACTGAAGATTGTATCATTAAACCTAGTTATTCCAGGTTTCATTCAAGCTTACAGTCTAAATAAAAACTACAGATCTGAATGCTTGGAAGTTAGTACCGGTCAATTTCTCTTCAGATTAATACAATTTTAGCACATGAAACAGACTGCTTATGCACAGCACTCCAGTATCCTGAACACACACTGCAGATTCACTTGTTTGGGCAAAGAGTCTAAAATGTGTCAATTAAACTATTGTGAAATCCTGGTCCATTGAAGTCAGTGGGAATTTCATCCCATATCATCAAAGGTGCAAAGATATGAACATTGGTATTGCAGCATGTATGTACTAGTGCCAAAATATGGGGCTTTAAACAACAGTTGTGACATGATACAACTTCTCTCTACATTTGCTCTGTTAGTGCATTTCCTCTGAGAACTAAACAGACATTCATTTGGACTGGAAGCCAAAATGGAATTTTTAATCACTCCCCTTCAGCAGATGAACAGTTTTCAACTTGATCACTGGGGTTGGGCTGGTAGCAGGAAATAATTCAGTAATAGCTCCTCAGCAGCTTTCTCCAAATAGGTGGGTTTCTTAACAGGCCTGTGACGGGGCCAAAGGGGCCTGAGGCTCCCAGCTGCCACCACGGGTATCACAGCAGCAATGACGGAGAAGAACCCTTTAAATCACCGCTGGAGTGCAGTACACTCCAGGCAGCTCTGAGGGCTGCCTGGGTGGTGGGGAGTATTGTGCTGCAGGTGAAGTCGTGCCCCTTCCACCTGAGGCTCTGCCCCTTTTGGGAGCATAGAGCTGTCCCCTCCCCACCTTGCCCAGTGGCTTGGCAATTCTGTCAGCCCTGTGTTTCTAAATAATCCTAGTCTAAGACCTTGTCTACACTATAAAATTAAATCAAGCTGTGTTAGGTTAACTTACAGACACCATAATAATTCCTGCATTTTTTCATGTCCATCTACCCTCCTTCTGCTGGTGGTGCGTGTCCTCACTCGGAGCCCTTCCACTGACTTATGAAGGGCAGTGCCCAGCAGCCGGACTCCCAGCTGGGAACTCAGCAAGGAGCTGAAAGCTGGGCTGTCAGCCTCAGGCAGGGAGAATTGCAGATATGAGCTGCATGCAGAGCCCACAGCGCAGGTTCTCAGCGTGTGCAGCAAAGTTCCAGCTGTCAGCACTGCCGGGCTCATAGCTGGATCCCCTGCTCTGCTGGTGTAGTGGGAGTTACAGTGGTGGGAGGAACACCGTGGTGTGTATACTTACAGAATAGGTTGACATAAACTGCCTTACGTTGATCTAGCTCTGTGGTGTACTTCTGGCCCCAGTAAAGACTGGCAACCATGGGTGGCTGGTAAGGTAGGCAAGGGAAGGCATTGCCTTCCCAAAAGTGCCTATACTACCCAGCCACCCTAGAGGGGTTGGGGCAGCACCATGTGGCACCCTAGCTCCCCAGTGTCCCGGGAATGCTGGGGCCACACTGCACAGGAGCCCGGCTCCCAGGCAGCCTGGGAACGCTTAGGCCTCACCACATGACAGCCCAACTCCCCAGTGGCAGGGGAAGGGTGGGGCTGTGCCGTGGGGCAGCCCCAGCCCCCAGCTGGGGTTGGGCAGGGCTTGGCTGGGGGTGGGGAAAATGTTGTGAAGGGGCAAGGTCTCGGGGAAGGGGCTGGGCTTTCGGGGGGAGGAGCGGGGCTTCAGCTGCCTTTCCCAGCTGGGCCTTCACCCGCCACCCATGCTAGCAACATCTGAAAGTGGGTGAGCGAACCTGATGTGCTTTTCTCATTCTTCCCCTTCCCTCCCTGCACACAATTGTTTGGTTCCCTCAGGCAGTCAAACTAAGATAAACTTTGCCTGCTTTGGTCTAGCACACTACTTAGGCCAGAAATCTGAGCAGATGATGGTGTATGTGAATTGCACTTGGGGGGTGGAGGAGCTTTTGATGTCTAGATACTCCCAGGCTATGTCTACACTCGCGGCTTCTTGCGCGAGAAATATGCAACTGAAGCCAAGCCTCATTTGCATACCTAATGAGCCGCCATTTTGCAGAAGAGGCTCTTGTGCCGGAAGGAGATGTCTACACTGCCCCTTCTTGTGCAAGAAAAAGCTTCTTGCGCAATGCCGTTATTCCTGAAAATAAGCAGTGTAGCGACATTGCCCAAGAGGGCAAAAATGGCGGCTCATTAGGTATGCAAATGAGGCTTGGCTTCAGTTGCATATTTCTCGCGCAAGAAGCCGCGAGTGTAGACATAGCCCCAGAGATTTGGATTTTAGGCTTTTTGGCAGCAGGTAGAAACTGCCAAGGATAAGACTTTCCCAAGCACATGAGGAGGGCAGCTGCAGGCTCTCAGAGAATCTTGTAAATGCCCGTGATGGGATGAGTAATAAATGAGTTGATCAGGATAACTCATCAGGGGTTCAAACAGCTTCACTCCCTGTTTTGAGTGAGATAGCTGAAAGCAGAAAGCAGAAAGCAAAAGGAGCTGGGCAGTGCTGTGTGCTAATTGGCAGGCACTCACATAGATGCTGAGCTCCTGAGCAGACACCAAGAATGGATCTCTGAAAAAGCGTATTGTTTTGCAGAAATGTTGAATAGCAAGGACGTCTTTGTAGCAGGATCAATTTAGCCCTAGGAATGGAGTTTCTGTAGGTTTCTCTTTTCACATTTTCTAGGGCTTAGGCTATCATATATGAAGTGCTGAATGAACATGATGTTGTAGCATATTAGGCCCTGATCCAAAACAGAGTGCAGGTGGACTGCTGTGTCTGCACCGAGACCTATTATTTGATTTTAATGGGTTCACTATTTTTAAGGCATCAGGCTTTGGAAAGGAGTCTGTAACAGCATTGGGTGAAAGATCATGTCTTGGTCAATGAACCTTCTTGTTTTTAACAATAAAGAGCTTTGCCTTGAATAGTATCAGTACAGGCTTATTAGAAGTGTGAAATTTTGTTGCATTAGTAATACTATTGTTGTCTTTAATTGCTGCTGAACAAAAGCATCTGTGAAACACAGGAGGCAGCACAATTTGGGGGTAAATCTAACCTTTAAGGATACCTCTCAAGAAAACAAGGCCAGCAAATAAACTGGAATATGGATTTATTCCCTTGAAACCAAATAGTGAATTTCTCAGAGACAGCATTCAGCTATATTATTATTAAAAAATTATTTTCCCAGGACCAAATATGATTCTCTGAGTTTGGACACTATTATACAATTCCTGAAAATGTCTGGAATTTCTTCTATCGAAAGCAAAAAACACCCCCCAAAACCACCAATCACTAATGTTTAATACACTGAAAATGTAGCTGTTGACAGCAGTGTATACAATCTAAAAATAGTGAATAATGCCACTTATCTTCAAAATTAAAGTCAAGAAATAAATAGGAGAAAACTTTACAGAGGAAATCCTCATAAGCTGATTGTGAGTCCTCATTAGTGTTCTAATTAAAGATGAAAGATTAATGAAACAGGCATACACAGGCACCCTGATTCTGCAAGGCACTTCAGCATATACTCGAGTCCCAGAGACTTCAATAGGATTTTGGCACATGCTTAACTTGTGAGTGTCTCCATCTTTCTTCAGCAAATCGCTTAAGCACATACTTATGCTTAGGCATTTGTTTATGTGGGAAAGTTTCACTGGTGACATGGGTATAATTATACTGGCAGAGTAAAACTATTGTAATTATATTGCAGAATAAGTGTGTCACTTTTTAGCTTAGTTTTTAATAGCTTACCAGGAGACATAAATTAAATCAGGAAAAGACATTTTTATACTGGAATAAGAGTGTCCTCATAGGCGGGTTATACTAATATAACGAGTGGTTTAAATTCACAACTTGTCTTACGCCAGTATAATTTTCCCCGGAGACTAGCCCTAAAAGACAGCTAACTAGAAACAGAGGAGCAGCTTAGGCATTCATTTAAAAAGAGTGCTTGGGACATTCCACAAGTTTAGGCTTGCAAAGTTCCCAAATTATCATCGTTTTTGTTGAGAAGAGTTTCCCCATGTAGAGGAGCTGGACTGCATGGGGCATAGGTTTCCCATCAATGGAGGAGTTGGGGCTATGAGAGTGTCTGAGTCCCACCTGACTGCACAGCTCTTTTTACTGTTTTTACACTGGTTCTTTCATCTGGAAATGGGTGACAGGGGAGGGATCACATGAGGATTACCTGTTGTGTTCCCTCTCTTGGGCATCTGGTATTGGCCACTGTTCTATTTCTCTCCCATAATGACAAACTGCACTTCTCCACATTTCAATACGGAGTATGGAGAAGAATACCAATTCATAGAACTACTCACCAATATCAAGGACTCTTTGTTTAGCTGTGTGCTGCCGAGAATGCCAGTATTTCCAGTACTTCAGCTGTTCCTCCCGGTTTTTATCTTCACTGAACACAACCATGACCACGCTCTACAGAAAAGGGGAGTGGAGACTATATTACTGGTGGTAACTCAAGTTTAATTAATTCAGAGTTCTAGAAATTCTCAGCTGCCTCTATTGTCACTTAGAAAATCTGCCCTTGAAGGGAATAACATTCAGTGTTTTGTATTCATGCCCTGCATATGTGACGCCTTTACATTTGTGTGCAGTAGAAAGGTAATTTGAAAATAAAGCAGGAATAAATATGATGCATTTTCTACAGTTTGAATCAAATATAACTAAGTATTTAAATTTCAGAGGGTTGTGATTCATAGTGCCAAATGTGGTGATTTCAAAAGCAAAAGTACCCCAGATTCTAATTCTGACTGAGATACTTAGAATAAGTCATTTGGACTCCTTGTACATTTAGAAGATTCTAAAAAAGTAGAAATGAAATATTATATATGACAGGAGCTCTTCTGGATAAAACAAACATACACACAAAAAGTTCATGTAATGCTTCAGTCAAGTAAGTATGTGTCAGAGGTAGTGGGGGACTGATGACACTGCAGGAAAATCAGAAGTGTGGCAGGAAATATCAGTGTGAATGTTCTTGATGTTTCATTTTTAAAATACAGCCACAAATTGATTTAACACAACTGAAATACACCCAGAAACATATAGTTCTTTAGGTGTCTACAATAGTCAACAGTTCAGACAAATCACAGCCTGTAACATTTAATGTTTGAGCTCCTTTCACACAGGTGTTTTCATATATGACGAATAGCAATTGTTAAAAACAAAAGTGTGTTTTGTCTGCATTTGTGGCCATACCATTTAAAATATCCCTTAGTTCAGTGGCTCTCACATTTTTTAGGATAGTTTTTCCCCTTAACCACATCCATGACCCCCAGAAGCCAGGGCTGGGAGCAGGGTCGTGGCTCACTGGGAGGGGACGACTGGGTAGGGCAAGGGGGCTGAGGCTGGAGCCAAGGCTGGGGGCTGGCACAAGACCAGTAGCCAGGGCTCCAGATGGAGGTGGGGCCAGAGAAGAACTAGGGGCAGAGTGGGGCTGGGTGTTGCTCCCTCCATGCCCTTGTGGGGGCTGGCCCAGGCCCTCCTTCCCTCTCCCTAAACTTTTCTCCACACATCCCTAGTGGGGCACGCCTCACAGTACTGGGACCCCTGCCTTAGTCTCAAGCACCCATCCTGTGGTCAGAAATCTCACTGTGATTGTTATCACATTGCTATATGATATTTTTACTGAGTCTCATTTGAGTTTTCATTTCAAGTTCTGGATTCATTTCGTTCTGATTATGTGATACCAAAAACCAAACCAAATTGTACCTTCACTCTACATCTTAACACTAGAGTCATAAAAGTGCAGAAAAAATTAATTGCCAATCTAAGCACTTTAAAAAAAAATCTCCCTGAGGTCAGTCATAAGCACTTCATGCCAAGGTGACCTGAAATTATGGAAGACAAAAAATAGACCCTTGTATGTGTTCTGTTAGTTCTCAGCTGAAAAGCCTTTCCCAATCTCTGCACAAATTCCCCTTAAATAACCTCCCAGCATGAATCACCAAACTTTAGAAAAATCAATGCCTCTGTATGTAAAGATTCTCCCAAAACTATGGGTGAGATGAACAACACAAATTCCACTGCTCCCCTGGAACGGATCCAATGCAATGAAATTGCTGAATAGCCCCTCAACAACTTCAAGTGACTTTGCATCGGGCATTTGTTCTGGGATTCTATTCACATTTTCTCCCTTCTAGCAGGGTTTGAAGGTTGTCCCCAAACTGTCTCAAGGGGTCATATCAGAAATCTGGGAATCCTTTAAAAGATCTAATCATCAAAGAACTTCAGTAAACAGATTGATTTGTTCTTGCTTTAATCCCCCACCCTGTCTCTGACACACAGCAAGAAAAACATGTTGAGAATGGAACTGGGGTACAATGGCCACAGCATTCCTCACCTTGTAGAGCTTTCATTTACTGCTTTGCAAAGTTGCTGAACTTTATGCTTCAGGGGACAGTGCCACCCTCAGGGAATCTCCCTAATGGTTGTGTTCTCCTTGAATATGAAACAGCTCACACGCATACACCATATTTGTTTTGATCCTTAATGCGGCTCATTAGTAAATTAATGGCCCAATCTTGCAAGCTGCTTAATGCCCTCAACTTCCAGTGGCTTGAGTAGGAGCCAAGAGAGCTTACTCAGCACCTCACAGGTTTGGGCCAGGAGCAGGGGAGCTGACAGCTTGCAGAGGCTGCTGGGCAAGGTGAGGGGGCCCGCTCTGTGCTCCCAGAATGGGAGGGGACTTGGATGGAAGAGGCAAGACTAGAAGGAGTGGGACTGGGCCAGGCAGACCAGAGACACCCCCTCCCCCTAGCTCTCAGAGTGGCACAGAGCGTATGATGCAGCACTCAGGCAGTGATTTAAACAGCATGGTGGCAGCTGGGAGTTCTGTCCTTTTTGAATTGCTGGGCCCTTGCCCCTTCCCCCCATGTCAGCTGGCCTGGCTACGAGGACTCAAGAGGGTTCTTAACACTGGCTGACCGTACAACTTAAATACTGGCTGAACCTCTCTAAACTGGGAGTCTCTGATCCGGCAACATCCCTGGTCCAGTAGGACCAGAGATGTCCCAGGACCAGAGAGTCCCATGGAGGGCTGGTGCCTGGGAGCTCTGCAGCGAGGCTAGAGGCCAGTAGTGGGGCTGCCCTGTGGCAGTGAAATGGGAGCCTAGCAGTAGGGCTGCCGCTGGGTGGCAACACTGCAGAGGGTTGGGGGCAGGCGGCAGCGGGGCTGGAGCCCAGCAGCAGAACTGCCTGGTGAGATGGGGAGGCAATGAAGCCACCCAGCAGCATAACCAGGATTCCAGCAGCCCCACAACTGCCAAGCGGCGCAGCTGCCCAGCAGGACTAGAAGGCAATACGGCTGCCCCACGGGGCCGGGAGCCTGAACACGGCGCTGCCTGGCAGTGGGGCCAGGAACCTGAGAGTGGGGCTGTTGCCTGGTGATGCAGCAGTCCTGCTACCGCCTGTGAAGCTGCCCGGTGAGGCTGCGAGGAAGCAGGGCTGCTGACCAAGGCTGAAGCCCAAGCGGGGCTGTCACCTGGTAGCGTAGCTGGACCTCAGTAGGGTGGCTGCCCCGCAGGGCTGGGAGCCTGGTAGTGGGGCTGTGTGTGCAGCGCTGGGACTGCTATGGTGGGGCTGAGAGCCCTGCGTGCAGAGGGGCCGGTAGCAGGGGGAAACCAGCTGGGAGGCTGGCAGAGAGGCCATGGCTGGGGGAGGAGGGGCGGGGCAGTGATGACCTTCCCTGGTCCAGCAAAATCCCTCATCCGGGACTAGTCTGGTTCCGAGGGTGCCGAATCAAGGAGCTCCAACCTGTATGTGCTTAAACTTATGCATAGGAACAAGTGCTTTGCTGAATCAAGCACAGCAGCAGAACTACTGACATCAATGCTTCAAGTTAAACACATGCTTGAGTTTCTTGCTGAATTGTGGCCTTAGTTAGCTACATACACAACTGAGCAGCTCATGAAATGAAACTGAAAAAGGATTTAAAAATATACAGCAAGTATCCATAGATGGTAACTTTACCCCATATTTCCGTTGACTATTGTAGCCAAGTGTTTCTATTATTCCCACAAGAAAAATAAATCAACCAGTGAGCAAAACGCAGCAGAGTTCTGTTCTGTCAAGCAAAGGCTGCCTACCCTGACTTTGCTGATGGGATGTCGGAAACACTTGTTGTCACCCGTCTCGCTCAGAGTAATGGCATAAAATTGTCCTTTGTTCAAATAGGTCATCGGTCCTTCCCCTTGCTTTTGACGCAGAGATTTGGTAGCTTCTAGAGTATACTGAAAAGTGCTGCTGGGGCGGGGGGAGGGGAGAGAGAGAGAAAGAGATCAAACAATCAATCACCATGACTTTTTCTTTTCTTTTCCTTTTCTCCTTATTTATTTATACATGTCATATGAATACAGATGGCACTAGCATAAAACTAATAGGGTATGTCTACACTACCCTCCTAGTTCGAACTAGGAGGGTAGTGTAGACATACCCTATTAGTTTTATGCTAGTGCCATCTGTATTCATATGACATGTATAAATAAATAAGGAGAAAAGGAAAAGAAAAGAAAAAGTCATGGTGATTGATTGTTTGATCTCTTTCTCTCTCTCTCCCCCCCCCCCGCCCCAGCAGCACTTTTCAGTATACTCTAGAATGTGTTGCAATAATTCAGTATGCTCATCCCTATCACACTATAATAAAACTTACTGAATAAACATTTCCCTTCAAAATACTCTTACAGCCACCATAATGGAAAGAGTCACTTATAGGATATTGCTACACGTTGAAGAAAATAATACCTTCTCAAATGTCTGAATTCAGCAAAGCATTTAAGCATTGCTAAATTGGGGCCAAAAGCAAGAACATACTAAATCAAAAGGTTCGGGTGTCCTTGAATGTTTAGTCTACACCAAATATACTCTATGTCATACCATTGCCTATGGCAATATAAAAGGAAATGAAGCAAAGATCAAAACAAGGTGTTCCTAGTTATGTTGCTTTAATCTAAAATCTATTCTGTTTTAATGTTTAAAAGAAAAATGTTTGTGTTTTTTGTGCTACATGTTGCATTGATTTGAAAAGACTAATGTATGTACAATATATATTTTGTGTATGATAAATGGATATTTTAAACACAGAAGGCCAGACTCTCATTTACATTAAGATTCTTTTACATCAGTCAGCATATAAAGGAATCCAGAAGGGAATTAGTGTGAATCAGTAAGTGCCACAGTACAACTGACTAAATAGTCTGTGTACCTTATTTTGTTCTCCTGTGTATGACAGTTTCCTTATCTGCATGTTTCAGAAGGTGTTAAAAAGCCCAAAATTCCAGACAGACAGCACCTGGCCAGTTGTGCAATACCCGTAATATACTGTAGTGGAAATTTCTTATAGATTCCAACTGGCAATCAGTCTATGCCCTAAAGCATGAACGTTGCTACCACTTGTCATTTTTAGCCTAGCAAATGTAAATGCAGCCATTATTCAAAAAAGTGTTTAAGCTTGTTTTGAATCTCATCAACTGACTGATCTAAAAGCCCCTTGAAATCAATGGGAATCTTTCGATCTACTTCAAGCATCAGAGAGGTAGCCATGTTAGCGTTTATCTACAAAAACAATGAGGAGTCCTGTGGCACCTTAAGCCTTGTTTACACTAAAAAGAAGATCACCACTGCTGCAATCAATCTTCCAAAGTTCGATTTAGCGAGTCTAATTAAGACTCGCTAAATTGAACTCAGAGGGTGCCCCTGCCAGCATGCAGTACTCCTGTTTTTGAGAGGATTAAGGAAAGCTGATAGGAACATTTGTGCCTCTTGGCCTCTCGCTGTGGGAATGCCGCCAAACTCAGCTTATGGTAAACTGACTCCAGATACTTATTCTGTGTAGCTGGAGTTGTGCACTTCAAGCTGAGTGGATGGGTCTAGTGTAGACCTGGCCTTAAAGACTATGGGTATGTCTTTGGGATACAGGAAGTATCCCAAAATAGCTACTCCGTGTCTTAACAAGCCACCCATTATTTTGAAATATTTTGGCACGCTATTTTGGCATCTCACGAGGGTTATGGGATATCTCAAAATAGTGCATTACTTCAAAATGTGGCACAGTGTAGATGCGCCAGATTTCAAAATAAGCTATTTCAAAATAGATTCGCAATAACATATGCAAATCGCGTATCTTAATTTTAAGTTTAGGGTGCTGTGTAGCTGCACCATAACAGATATATTTGGACATAAGCTTTCATGGGCAAAGACCCACTTTGTCAGATGCAACAATCGACTTCAGAGGGTCTTGGACCAAGCCTAAGTTTTTTTGATGTTATGTATCTGAAGCATTTGTTTGTCTACATGCTGGGTATGAAACACTTAACAGAATGCTACAGAATTCACAGCGGGGAGGCATTTCCTTCTGAATGGCAAATTGACATAAGAAGTTGCCCTTCCTTGGCTCTTATGCTAAAAGTTTTCACCTTCACAAAAATCCTCACAATGCAGACACTCCTGGTTTATGTTTCAAAAATACCCAACGCAGGAAATGGAAACTCTGCTGAACTGATGCTGCAGATATACTCCTGTCTAAGGAACTCCTGATCCCCTTGAAGATAATGGGGGTTTTACCATTGACTTCAATAGGAAATGGATTGGGCCTTAAAGGTACATCTACACAGCAACATTATTTTGAAATAACTTGCATTAGTCCACGTCTACACAGGCAGTTATTTCGAAATAATATTGAAATACTGTCAAGCTGGAGGACTTCTTATTTCCAAATCCTGTAACCCTCATTGTATGAGGAGTAAGGGAAGCTGGAGGAAGAGTCCTATATTTCGAAATGGGTGCTGTGTAGACGCTCCCAATTTTGAAATAAGCTACACAATTGATGTAGCTCAATTGGAACAGCTTATTTCGAGTTAAGGCCTGCTGTGTAGATGCATTTTAAAAAAGCTACACCATGGGGAAAAAAGTCCTCTTCCTTGCATGGGGGCTGCAATGCAGGAAAATACTTAAGCATATGTTAACTTTAAGCTCATGAATAGTCTCATTGATATATTAGTCTCATGATAAGTCTCACTGATATAAACTGAACTACTCGCATGCTTAATATTTAGTACATGATTACGAGTTTTCCTGGATCAGAGCTAATACAAGTCAATGACTAATCTAGCTCTTGCCCATTTATACACATGCATTTTGCTAACCTCAATGATCATGTATTTCTATAAAACTTTACTTTTTCCTGCATGGTATTTAGTTGGGTGGTGACAAACACCCAACAGATTAAATAATACAAAATAAACATAAACGTATCACACTATCTACTGCCTAGAACAAAGATCTCCGCCAAAACCAATTGTTACAAAATAAAAGAAAAAAATTAGGAATTTCATAAAGTCTCAATAACTTCAGACTCGTGTGCTCTGTATCCTCCTTTCACAGTTAACATTTTCCAGGAGCAGGCTGGTGACCTGTGCTCTTATACTGAGAGCCTGGTTCTCCTCTCTCACTAATTTTACATTTGTACAACAACATTGACTTTAGTGGAGGTTTTTTTTTATTTAAATTGGTAAAAGTAGGAAGAGAATCAGGCCCTGACATACAGTGAAGACACACACACTAGTCAGATTTTAAAGCCAACATGCAGAGCAAAGGAGTGAAACAGCAGTAACTGTGCCCACATGCTGGGGGAACGTAGTACACCCCAAGTGGTGGCATAGTGGGATTCTCCATAACATGAAGCCAATTAGGTCTATCTATTGACCATTGTTCTTCAGTAACGTACCTTGCTGTTTGCTCGTAAATGTATTCTTCAGCCCCTACTGACGCACTGCGGTACTTCTGGAAGTTATAGAAATAAAAAACAAGCAAACAACAACAACAACAAAACCAGATGAGGAATTATTGGATACAAAGTAAATTAAAATTCTGTCAAGAGCACAGTAAAATTTTTCTAGTTAAGGAAACCCTTATAATACACTATCAGGTAATTAAGACTCAAAATACCTATTGGCCTGGCCTGAGTTGTCCCTGTTTTTTTACCTCTAGAGTTGACATTGAGAAATTATTTGCACCAAGTGTTTGAATTTGTCTGTCTAGCTAACTCATCACATCTAACATATTAGTGAAGTGGCAGATATCTTTGTGCTCTGCTTGTCGTAACATTAGCACATGTTTAAATGAAACCTGTAATAACATGCATTGCTCACAAATGCAAGTATATCGTAATTTGCAAATTAAATGAAAGTTTTTACAGTGTTTAGGTTTTTAAAGAGGATTTGTGTGTCTAATCGTTCTCTACAACCCACATACAAGAATACGAATTTTTATGAGCCTCGATATCATCTGCTTTGAATGGGAGTGGGAAAACAGGCTAACAAAATATTCTGCATGTAATACAAGATCATGTTACAATAATAGATTCATTTTACAGATGAAAACAGATTTACAAAACATATAGATGAAAAATGGGAATTATACTGCATCAAAAGGTTCAATTATGAAAATTATATCCACTGTATATACTAAGTAAAGAACCATGCACTACATTACATTATAGAGCAGAGGAAAATTATGTTCTTTGAGATCCTTGCTTCTTCTTCTTTTTAGTTTACCTTTTGCGGCCATAATATACAGTTTCTAAAGCCTCTCTAATGGATCAATAGCCATAGTCTCATGAATTATTAATGATTATTATTACTATTTTGTTACCACTCAAAGTTAATTATATATTGTGGTAGTATTGCAAAAATGCTCTGTAATCAAAAGACTTGAAACTTCTATAAGAGACTCCAATTTATTACAGAGCATTTTTACCATGGCACAGCAATGGTTGTAGATTTGCAACTGACTAGTCTTGTTTTTATATAATTTTGTGTGATATTTTCATGTATGGGTTTGTGTAGCGATGCCAAGAATGTCTACAGAAGATAAACATCTTTAAAATATTAATCCTTTTCAATATCAATCCAACTAGTTTATATTAATTAGTATGTAATTAAGATATTTTATTTAATCCATCTGGGACACAATTTAAAATCTGCCCACATTTATTTAAATCCATATTAAAATGAAGCAATAATAAGATAAAGGAAATGACCACTTTTATAATATTATGAAAAATCATGATCATAGTAAGGTATGAAATGTTATACATAATTCGGTTGAGCATATTTTTTTTAAAAAAGTGATAAAATATTACTGATGTCACTGAGGTATTAGCAAAAAATATAGGTATTTTTGACCACTGATGGCACTTTGTATCCATGATGGATTCATTTTTTTGTCAGTGTTCTGTTGCATCTCCAAAAACACATACAGGAGGCCCCCGACTTGTGACACGATTGGTTCCGGAGAAAGCATCGCAAGTTGGGAGCATTGTAATTCGAACTCGCATTTACGGTAGGTGCCGTGCACTGTCGTAAATGCGAACCAAGGACGTAAGTCAGGGGTTTCCGGCCCCTTCCGCACTTACAAAAATGGTTGTAAGTACGTGTGTGTGTGTGTGTGTGTGTCAGAACTCGGGTGGTCGCATCTCAGGGGCCGCCTGTATTGGCACAATGGAATCGATACCATGAGCTATATGTGCTGACTCAATAGGTGCTCTGGCACTGGAACAGGGGTGAAAGCAACTTAAATTTCTTATAGGTACTGTCTTATCACAACTCCCCCTAGGGGGGTTATAATAGGGAGCTGGAGGTGGAAAGGTTTGCGATAGAAAAAGTTTTCAGAGGTAGCCATGTTAGTCTGCTTCAGCAAAAGCAAGAAGGAGTCCACTGGCACCTTAAAGACTAACAATTTCATGCAGCTGATGAAGTGAGTTGCAACTCACAAAAGCTTGTGCCATAATAAAATTGCTGGTCTTTAAGGTGCCACTGGACTCCTTGATGTTTTTGTAAGAAATAAATGTCAGATGTAGTGTGCAGGGCTCAGGGCAGGGGATTGGAGTGCGTGGGTGTGGAGAAGTTCAGGAGAGGAGACCAGGTTGTGGGGAAGGGGGGCAGAAGCCAGAGCAGGGGTGGGGTTACCCAGCTCCATGTACCTGGAAGGGGCAGGCCTCGGGCAGAAGGTGTGGGGCCAAGGGCAGTCAGCCCTTAGCACCACTCAGACTGTGGCCTGCCCCTACCCCTCCAGTCCTCAGAGTGGTGTGAAGTGGTGCTCTAGCAGCAATTCAAAGGGGACCAGGACTCCAGCCAATGCCTCAGTAGCGGCAGTGGCCAAAAGCTCTAGGTCCCTTTGAATCTCCAGGTCCCAGGACAATTGCCCCCTTTGGGCCCCCTGTTGGTGGACCTGGCTGTGAGTTACCTAAGGGAAAGCCCATGTGCACATTACAAGAGGGTATTTACCAGTAACCCAGCATAAGGTTTGAAACCATACAATTATTTAATCTAATCTTATTATATATTTTAGAAATGTCCATCCATCTGTGAGGTTGTTTGTTCAAGAACCCTTCCTAAATGGTAAGATCTAGGACCACCAAATTTGGTATGCAGCTTCCTCTTATCATAACTTAAAGCAAACTCAGAGTTTGGTTGTGCCAGGACAATGGGACGTGCTTGGAATGTTATTGTTTCTCATCAAATTGAAAAGGAGGGCTCTGCTAGCAAGAGCAGTTATTACAGCATGACCACAGGTGGGCAGCAAGGGGCTAGAGATGGGGACTGGAACAGCAGGGGGCAAGAGTGGAGAAAGGAACAGCTATCTACTATAGATTTCAGAGAGTTTGTCTGTATGTCTGTCCGTCCCCGAGCCTCTTCTGGCTGTGCCCGATATGCTCATTGCTGTACAGACACAAAATCAAATTGTCTGACTCTTTTCAATGAGTTCCAAGATACTGGTTCATAAATTAAAAACTTACTTCTGTTCTCCCATCTTTGAAAGTGTCACTGTAAGTACTATCAGGAGTACTACGCTGGTCATCTTTGAGATAGTTTGTATGAGGGGCAATGTTGGGCACTTCATATTGAGTCTGTTCAAAGATAACTCCCCGGTGCTCCTCATTTTCACCCCTTACATAATGGATTTGCGGTGCCATAAAAACAGGAGTGAACTCTTCTGCCTTTACCACAGTGATTCCAGTCACTGAGACTGGTGTTGGGCTCCCGGATACATTGGTACTATACTCCCTTTTGGAAGATTCCAGATGTTCTTGATTTAAGGAGAGGTTAACTGGCACTGTCTTCAAGACTTGAACTCTGTTCTCTCCTCCACTCAAATTACTCTGAGATTCGTTAGAGCCAAGACAATTTCTGTGAAAAACAAAAACCTGTGAATTTTCCTAATAAAAGCTGGCATCAAATCTCTTCATTTAGGAAGTAAGCAGATTGCCATAGAGGTCAGGAAGAAAATATACCCTCAGAGAAAATCTTTCTTCATATATTGAAGACCAGGAGCTGTTATCTTCCTCTGAAACTTCAGGTATTGGCCACTGCAGGACCCAGAGAACACTTCAGCTCCCCAAGCTACATCTATACTCAGCCTTTGTCGGCAGAAACAATGCAAATGAAGCGCTCATTAGCATTTCTCACGCTCTCATTTGCATAGTCTCTTCCGATCCTTTTTGTGGAAGAGGTTTCTGGCAGAAAAAAATGCAGTGTAGATGGGGCCATTTTTTGCAAAAAAAATCCTTTTGTGCAAGAGGAAGAGAATATGCAAATGTGAGTGCGAGAAATGCTAATGAGCACTTCATTTGCATTGTTTCTGCCAGAAAAGGATGCAGTGTAGATGTAGCCCCAGAGAACAAATACTCTGCTCTGATATTACAAATCCTATGTCCCCTTAGACTGCTATTTGGATACATAGTTAATAGAGAAATACAAAAACTTATTGGCTAAAATATACATCAGAATATGCAAATGTGAGTGCGAGAAATGCTAATGAGCACTTCATTTGCATTGTTTCTGCCAGAAAAGGATGCAGTGTAGATGTAGCCCCAGAGAACAAATACTCTGCTCTGATATTACAAATCCTATGTCCCCTTAGACTGCTATTTGGATACATAGTTAATAGAGAAATACAAAAACTTATTGGCTAAAATATACATCAAAGGCTTTAGATGTTATATATTTCACAGTAGAACAATTCTCATGTGGAATAGAGAGAATGAATTGTCAATGAGATTAATATTTTGCTACCTGCCCTTTCAGACAGCCACTACGGTGGTGACCTTGTTTACTATGTAATTCCTGAAGAAATACTTCCAGAAATCCCACCATAACAGAACATGACAGAAACTGCTGTGAGTGCAGAGTAGCTTTCAGCAAAGCACTGCTCTCTCGCTAATTGAAGATGCCCTTAAAAAATCTCAGAGGAGCCATGTTAGTCTGTAACTTTAAAAACAATGAATAGTCCTGTAGCACCTATAGACTAAAATATGTACAATCAGATGAAGTGGGTTTTTACCACCAAAGTTCAGGATTCTATATATTTTGATTAGTTTCTAAAGTGCCATAGGACCACTCGTTTTTGAAGATGCCCTTGAAAACCCATAGCATGTGTAGTCGTCGCACAAAATGAAATGGTTCATTCATAAAGCTTTCAGCTTCTTTCAGTTGCTAAGTGTTTTGTTCTCATTTTCAATAACTAATGAGAGTTGTTCTGAGGAGAAAATGCTGCCATCCTGGCTTTCCATTGGAGGAATGTTTTGCTAGCCTGCCGCAGAATTTCTCTGGAGCCAGATGGAAGTGGAACTCTCTTTTCTCTAGATGCAGACTGAAGAAGTTTCAAGTTATGCCTTCACTGTCAAAAGGTAGGTTTTGCGCATTAAGATAGCTAGCTTGCTGTAAATCATAGAGAAAACAAGGCGCTGTTAGTTTCATCTCAGTGTAACAAAGGGTATGTCTACACTACCCCGCTAGTTCGAACTAGCGGGGGTAATGTAGTCATCCGCAGTTGCAAATGAAGCCCGGGATTTGAATTTCCCGGGCTTCACTTGCATGAAGCCGGCCGGCGCCATTTTTAAATGCTGGCTAGTTTGGACTCCGTGCCACGCGGCTACACGCGGCACGGACTAGCTAGTTCGGATTAGGCTTCTAATCCGAACTAGCTGTACGCCTCGTGGAACGAGGAACGTGGAACGAGGTGTACAGCTAGTTCGGATTAGAAGGCTAATCCGAACTAGCTAGTCCGTGCCACGTGTAGCCGCGCGGCATGGAGTCCGAACTAGCCGGCATTTAAAAATGGTGCCGGCCGGCTTCATGCAAATGAAGCCCGGGGAATTCAAATCCTGGGCTTCATTTGCAACTGCGGATGACTACATTACCCCCGCTAGTTCGAACTAGCGGGGTAGTGTAGACATACCCTAATTGAGTCAAACCCCACTTTGGGACATAGCTGTATGTTTGATTAACTAAGGTAAAAACTACCCCTGTTTTATCTCCACTGGGGTTCTTTTGATTCACATCTGATCAAGAGGTTCTTTTAGCTGCAGTGTATTAATGTATTATTTTAAATGATACTATACCTTTTATCTTGGTCTTCTTGATTGTCACTCACTTTGTTAACAGACAACAGCCTTTTATCCCTGGGAACCTGTGAACAGCAGCGGGCATTGGTCAGGCAAATGTAACAATTTGTGTTTGCAGGTTCAGATGAATATAGTCTAACAAAAAGTAAGATTTATTTAGACCAAGGATGTCAAACTCATGATTGTCCTTGCTTATTTTTGTCTATTATAGTGACAGTAACCTTAAAGATTACCCCCACCCCTCCATGGGGAAAAATACAGGAATTGTTCTCTCCTTTGGTTCTTGGATATTTAAAGGCCTGAAAAGGTTTTTAGCTTTCTTTCCCCAGAATAAGGTTTTACTCTGTTTGATTTTTACCTTGGAAATACCAGGAGTATCAAGATCCAGGTTTGGTATATATACCAAAAATAATAAAGGGAGTGAATTAAAATCAATTTAGCTATTTTGGTACAAATCTGTGAAGTCAATGTAGCTTAGAGGAGTAAGAAACTAGCTTTACCTAAATCAAACTGAGGGCTTGTCTCCATGATGTCGCAATGCATACTACAGGAATGTAATTTCTGAACACATTACAGTATTATGTTATGCATTAATTGCATACTAGAGAACTTTAGCACATCATCAGGGTCTATATGGACCAACTGAGGTGCAACATGTAAGGCTATGTCTACACTAGGATATTTCAAAATAAGTTAAGTCCTCTTCACAAGCAGGAGTTATTATTTCAAAATAACAAGTCCATTATTTTGAGATAACAGGCTTGGTAGTGTGGATGCTCGCCTTGTTATTTTGAAATAAGGGGAGTTATTTCAAAATAACTCCCCAGTGTAGACATGCCCTTAGTGTGCTTTGGAAATGGCACGCTATAGTATGCATTGCCCCACCATGTGGGCAGGCCCATAATCACTTTTATTCCAAATTAAAAGGCTTCACACATAAACGTAAAAGTTAAATCAACATAGCTATAGCAGTCAAGGCCGGGAAAACACACACACTTCTAACCTGTGCTATGGCCTGGACTACACCTAAAACTTAGGCTGATCTAGCTACAGCACTATGGGGTGTAAAAAACCATCCTGTTAGTTTTTAAGGGTATGTCTACACTACAGCACTAATTCGAACTAACTTAATTCGAATTAGTGCATCTAGATCTAAAAACTAATTCGAATTAGAGTTTTGCTAATTCGAAATAGCATGTCCACATTGAGTGGACCATGAATCAAAGTTAAGGCTGGCCAGAACCAGTGCCAGCAGGGCATCCAGTTAGAACTTAAGAGTATGGAGCTGCAGCCTCGGGCTAGCCGAGGGCTGTGCTTAAAGGGACCCAACCCCCACCCCGGACAGACAGTTCTCAGGGTCTCCCGCTTGCTTCTCTAACTCGATGAGGGACAGCAAAGCAGTCCTGTCTTGGAGTGCCCTGAGTGCCCACACTCGGCACATCACAGCACTCGGCCATCAACCCGGCTGCACTTGCCGCA